TTTCAAGCAGTAGCATATGATCAAGAGCCAATGATACTTAGGGAGGAAGTCCAAGGTGCATTGAAGGAATTGGCAAAGAACAAGGCACCAGGAATTGATGGAATAAAATGGAAATTTTTCAAGAAAGTGAGGTGGCACAGGAGGTACTCACTCATCTCTGCCAAGAAATTTGGAAGACAACTATCTGGCCTACTGATTGGAAGAGATCCATATTTGTGCCCATTCCAAAGACAGGTGACCCAACGGAATGCAGAAATCATCGGACAATCTCTTTGATATCTCAGCTTTGTCTAGACAGGTTGAAAACCACTCAGCGGAGGTTCTACCTTCCTCAGCACCCTCTGAGACTAAACGCCCTCTTGAAAACTTGTAAGTCAGTCACTTCTTGCCTTTTTAGCCCCCCATTTTAGGTAGCCAATGTGTAAGTTGCCCATCCCTGTAACCCTGTGTACAAAGTGGGAGGGAATGATCCTTGCTGTGAAGATTTGTTCCCTCTTTTAAGCTACTACATCCATAAGTATAGGTCAAGTTCATCAAATTATAGCAGATTACACTTTTTTCCCTCTTCTTTCTTCCTCTAGTCGAGTTTTGATCATCAGCCATTAAAGATAGGTCAAATGGGTACTGTCTGCAGGTATGGGCGTTCTTGTGCATCTCCCCTCTTTTCATATCAGCTGGATGCTTCACTCTCAACTCTAGCCCTCTTTGGCTATGTCTATGGGCTCAGGAGTCCCCAGGTCTCAAGCAGGCTAACTTTTAAGCTGATGATTTTGTGTGTTGTTATACATATCTAAATGGTCCTTGGCAGAAAAAAGTTCCTCACCCCTGCTATACAGGGTCACTATGAGTCAGAACTGACTGCATGGCACTTAATAACAACTTCTGAGCTAGCTGGCATGTGTATTTGTGTGTTGGGGGGAAGAGGATGGCATAGCTTCTGTTTTGCCATAAATAACCTCATTAGTGAGATGTCCCAGCTCATTCAGGCACCAGGCAGGCCTGAGGAGTAGCTTCTGGGTCAAGTGGTTTTAGTGCCTAATAAACCCTCCAAACCTTACTTGCAAACAAAGGAAAACAACCAAATCCACAGCCATGGAGTCCACTAGACTCTCAGCTACCCTACAGGATAGAGAACTGCCCTATAGGGTTTCTGAGGTGTGCAGTTTTACTGAAAACAATTTGCCTTATTTTTCTTCTATGTTGAAGCTGGTAGGTTGAGCCTCTGACGATCTGATTAGCAGCAAAACGCTTAACCTGTTGCACCACCAGGGTTCCTTTGGTTTTAGAGCCAGAACTCTGCTTCCGCCTCACTTACAGGCTGTGGGATCTCAGGCAAGTTCTTTACACTCTCTGAGCATTTAATTGTTGCTGTTTAGTGATGTCCCAGTAGTTCCCATATCATATCGACCCTGTATAGGGTTTCCAAGGAGTGAATTTAATCACCCACCTTGCATTTAGCAGTCTAGAGCTTATCCTACTTCAACATAATGTTTAAAAATTAGAGGTTAAGAGAGATAGAAATAGAGACTAGCAATAAAACTGGGCCCTGGTAGAAAGTAAACCAAACCGGCAGGTCTTTGCTTGCTTGGGAATTATTATAGCTTCTTGCCACCCTCGCTCCAATGTGGGAAAGAAGCAGAAGTCAACTGGATGAGCCTCTGAGATCTCTTACCTCTACTATACAGGAAATGAGAGGGAGACTTCTTGCAGAGCTTCCACACTGGTAGGGGGGCTAGCCGGGCTAAGGCAGGGGGATTCTGAACGTACCAGAGAACCCCACCGTGGTCCTCCCAGCCCCCACGAACTTCGAAGCCTGTTTCCTTGGCAACCCTTCCCCGGTCCTCTTCTTCCCCCAACAAGACTTCTGAGACCCACCAGCGGGCACAGCCACGGTCCCCAACCCCTCCAGCCAGCACGTCGCTCGCTCCCTCGCTCTCTCCGCAGCCGCCGGGCTGCAGGCCCAGGCCGCACCGAAGGGGACAGAACCATCCGCAACTCTGCCTGCTGATCGCTTTGCACCCCAGGAAGTGGCAGCTCCTCTCAAGGGCAGCTCCAAGAAGGCGCGGCTGGGTAGCGAGTGAGACCCCACCTCTAGAGCTCTGGAGGAGAAGGAAGGGGCGCGGCTGGCTGCGGGTCAGCGCCACGCCTCCCGGCTGCGAGCCGCGCCCCCCGACGGCTCCGCCCAAGACCCTCCTCCCCAGAACCCGCCCCTCGATCTCGCGCCCCGGGAGGCCCCGCCCCACCTCCCGCAGAAAGCCCAGCTCCCAGCCCCGCCCCGTCCCGCCGGCGACCCCGCCCCCCGTGCCGCGGGCGCTGTTCGCCTCCTTTTGCAGCCCGGCGGCCGGACTCTCCGCGTAGCTGCTCGCCTGCCCGCCGGCGCGGAGCGCCCTAGCTTTCCCTCGGGCCCTCCCCCAGTCGCCAGCATTTGGCCGGCGGCCCGCGGGCGGGCCGCCCTCCCCACTTATAGCCCACCCCCCTCTTAAGGAGGCGGCGGGAAGATGAGGTTTCGGGAACCTCTTCTGGGCGGCAGCGCGGCGATGCCGGGCGCGTCCCTGCAACGGGCCTGCCGCCTGCTCGTGGCCGTCTGCGCGCTACACCTCGGCGTCACCCTCGTCTACTACCTGTCCGGCCGTGACCTGCGCCGCCTGCCCCAACTGATCGGAGTCACCTCACCACTGCAGGGGGGCGCGAGCGGCGCCACCGCTCTCGGGCAACCTTCCGGGGAACTCCGTTCCCGAGGGGCCCCGCCGCCGCTGCCTGTAGGTGCTTCCTCCGAGCCGCGCCCCGGCCCCGCAAGCAACTTGACTGTGGCCCCTGAGCCCCCCACCCCGGCACTGTCGCTGCCCGCCTGCCCCGAGGAGTCCCCTCTGCTCGGTAAGGACTCCGGTCGCGCTAGTCCAGGGCTGGATCTCCCCCGTATTTTCCCCGACAGGGCCCCGGGTACAGTCCCCGGTGCCCTCTTCCACGACAGCCTTATTTCGGATCAGAATCCTAATCCTAAACTGAGGCTACGGGCTGCTCTGGGAGAGAGTTGGGAAGTTGGCCGATTGAGAGTCTTGTTGGACACTGAGGAGGGGGCGGTGTGGGGAAGCCTTTGGCTACAGAACCGGAGATGTCTGGCCCAAGGCTCTGAAAGTTTTGAGATTTGCGTCTGCATAAAGTTTGGAGCCCTGGTGTGGTCTCCAAAACCGTGAAGTCGGCGGTTCAAACTCAACAACCGCTCCTTGGAAACCCTATACAGAGTCGCTATGGGTCGGAACCGACTCGACGGCTCTTAACAACAGGGTTTGGAGCAGCCTGCGCCCTGCTAACCCTGGAAGGGACAGTTCAGAGTAACCATCCTTCTTTTGGGGGCTTGATGATGAGGCCCTTGGTGGGCAGGAAGCTGGTTTCCCAGTTCACATGTCTTCCCATAAAGCTACTCTTCTGAGGGTGAGTTAACTTTTTTGTTGAGTTTTTAGGCCAGTGACTGAGACTCTCTAACCCTCTGGTGTCTCATCTGGCAACCGGGGAGAAGAAATGAATCTATTTCCATAGGATTGTTTGGGAAGATGAAACAATGTAAATAATACTAAGACCACAAAAAGTTGTCACATTGTGTTCAATTTCTTCTCTGTGTAGCACGCTCTTCTGGTGTTTTGGGGGCTGCCTCTTATGCTACCTGTCCACAAAGGTCCCCGAAACCTAAGTGAGCAGGCTCTCACCTAGGTCCAGGGGCTGTGTGTGTGTGTGTGTGTGTGTGTGTGAGTGTTACATACATGTATAATGTGTGTACTCTGGCGGCTGGAAAGCTAAAATATAACCAGTCAGCACTGGAGTGACCCTTCCTGGAAATGACCCGAAGTCTCGGAACTCTGGCCCTCAGCCTGTTTCAGAGGCAGTGAGCTTGGGTGTTGGTCAGTTTGAATTCCTTAGTTCAGGAGGAGGTTGGGTGAACTCAGATCCAGACTTCTTGCCCTGTAACCCACACACCTTTAGGACCAAGACAGCCCCATGTTGCTCCAGGTTTCCAGATAGGTGGCCACTTAGTTCCAGTATTAGGTTTTAGAGACTGTTATGAGTGAGGGACCTTGGCAGCCAGTGCTCTGCTACTTTCCCAAGGATCCCTGGTGGAGCAGGCCTCCTACATACTCTTGCTCAATTTCTCCAATAATTACTTCAATATTTTCATATCAAGTTTGGGAGGAACTTCTTGGAATTGTTAATGTGGTCATGAAAGAGTTTTGTTGTTTTTATTTTAAAGCAGAAAAAGGAATTCTTTCTGACTTGGTCTGGGAAGCCGTCTGATCCTATAAAATGAAGTAAACTTCTTTGACTTGCTGCTAAGTGTCTGACCTCAAGCATTTTGTAGGGTTTCTCAGAACTTCTTATGTGTAAAATGGGGTTCTTTGACTTATAGGGTTATTTTTAGGACTAAATTGAGATTGTGTACAGCTAAATATGGGACACAGAGTAAGTACTTGGTTCTTCAGTGGCTAATAACTAATAACAGTATTGGCTTGACACCTCGAAGTTCCATTTTCTCAGACTCCTTTGGAGATGGTTCTGAACAGCAGAGAGAAAGGAGAGTCTCCAAACTACAGAGACTCTAAATTCTGTGCTTTTGTTTGTTTTTAGTTGTTCCCTGGACATTGTGCAGAAAGACAAATGAATAGGAAAGTAGAGAAAAGCACCCTAAAGTTCCTTAGCTTGGCATTTGAAATGTAGAGTTTTCTCACTGAAGCATGAGAGGTGGTGATGGTGACGATAACTCCCTTGTTTTGTTTTCTGTGTTGCTAGTGATCTGCTAGCTCCCCACCTAGCTCCTCAGCAGTAAACTAGTGGTTTTGAATGGACTCTGAATTGGCATGCTGAGAGCTGGAAAGTACTTCCTGAGAGAGAATGTTCTGGAGGGCAGAAACCCTGGGTTTTCTCTAGTTTGACTTCCTTCTTGTGACGTTCATGGGCCCATGATGTTTAGGCTGCTGCTGAGGCAGTCCTAGAAAGTGAGGGCAGAGGCTTTTCTTCATTTTAATTGAGTGCTTAGGTTTGAGTGGTTGCATGCAGCTCTCTGAATGGAGGCTTCTGACTAGGAGGGGACCTTGAGAAAGCAGAAAGTCTTCCTGGGTGTGTGTGGTGGAGGCACTGCACCCCATCTGTTCAACTGGACAGGTGTCAGCCAGAGCCCTTGTGGGTTGGTTTTGAGGTTGGTGGGGAAAGCTTACATGGGGTTTAGAGTTGTGGCCTTTTCACTACTTGCAGTTTCTTTCCTTGACTTGGCTCTACTTTCTAGTGTCCAGGGATCTGGGCCAGATTCTTCTACCCCTCCCGGCTGATAGGTGATGGGATGAGGCTGGCATCAGACTGGGCTTCTGATGGGTCACTGTTTGATCTATTGCTGGGTTGGTCAGAACCTTGGAATCAGACAAAACAGAAAAAAACAAACAAAACCCTTGGCTGTTGAGTTGGTTCAGACTCATAGTGATCTTGTATGGTAGAGTGGAACTGCTCCGTACAGTTTTCTTGGCTGTGTTTTTTATAGATGTAGATCACCAGGGCTTTCTTCTGTGGTACTGCTAGGTGGGTTTGAACCACCAACGTTTTGGTTAATTGAGCGCAAACCCTTTGTACTCCCCAGGGACCTTTGACTTTAGATAGACAGGTTTGAACCCTGCTTCTGTTTACACTAAGCACCCACATGAGACACCATTAAGCCTCCAATGTGGGTTTTCTGAGGATTCAAGGAAGGACAGGTGGCCTGCAGATGCTGCCCACTCCCCAGCCCTGTCCCAGGCCTCTCAGGGGGCAAGACCCCATTCACTCCACTACCTTGGCAGTGTGGCTCCATTTCTGGCAGCTTGGGTGTTTGCCTGAGATACAGTCAGTCTGGGAGGAGCAGCGGCCTTGTAGTTCTTTTCCTGGAATGTTAATCTCTGCCTAGACTTTGGCCGCAGCTCAATGTGATTTGATCAGCTGTGGCATTGCCAGTCCATAGAGGGACAGGGTGGGGTGGGCAGCACATCAGGCTTAGGAGAGGCAGAGCTGGCCTCGGGGCACAGTGGGAGCCAGCTCTGGAGGAAACAGTCCCCTCAGGGTGCATGAGGGTGAGGCCCCTCTTGCCTAGTTCTGCTTTGAGGAGACTCCTTTCATTTGTTCCAGAAGGAAGACTCTGATTTCGAGGTGGGTGCTGGGCAGTCCCAGGGAGCTGGGCCAGCAAACAGCAGAGCCTGGGAGGGCACTTGTCCATGAGCCAGTCTCCCCAGCTTTATAGGGGCTGCTCTCTGAACCTCTGCCATGGTTTGTCCCTTTGGGAAGATAGAGTACTTGCTAGGTCTCTGCTGGACTTGACTCAGGGATGATTCTCTGTCAGCACATCATCCCCTCCATATGCAAACACATGGACACAAGCATGCTGCCCCGGACAGAGTGTCCTTTGAGAACATCTGGGAAGGCCTTTCTCCTCCCATCAGGATGGGTTTTTGGAGCCATGTCATCTTCTGTGCTTAGGGTGGAGCCTTATCCTGGGGATTCAGACCTTGAAGCTTGGGGAGGTTAGGAAATTAGTTCTTTGAACCAGTTTTGTCCTCTTGTTTTTTTCTGGGGGGAAAAATGACCAGTGTCCACATATACACATACACACCTTCTTATCTAACAGTCTAAAATTGAGAAATGCAGTCTACAATGCTCTGATTCACTCTCAGGGTGAAACATGATTGCTTTCTCTCACTCAGCCTGATGGAGGTGCAAGGGAGAACATTGGTTTTACACTCATCATTTCATTGCAATGATTACAATCTCCTTCGTGCATCATCATTCAACAGTATTTGCTTCTATTTCCCTGAATCCTCCTTCAAGGTCTTATATAGTGGCAGCTTGCCTGAGTGTCACTGATGGCTAAGGCATCTGATAACCTCACTCATTCTGCCCCTGTAATGTGTTTATAGTGCATTACAAAGAGGAAGAAGGCCAGCCTCCCTCCCCTGCACACCTCACCACTAGAAACTTTAGGCAAAGAAAACAATCTAAAACCAAACTCATTGTTGAGTCAATTCCACCTCATAGCAACCCTACAGGACATAGTAGAACTGTCAACCCTATAGGACACAAGTGTTTCCAAGGTTGTAAGTCTGTGCAGAATCAGATTACCTCATCTTTTCCACAAGAAGTAGTTGGTATATTTGAACCACTGACTTTTCTGTTAGCAGCCAAACCCACCAGAACCCCTTTCATTTAGGCAAGGGAGCCGTAATTAGATACTGCTGGTACCATTTTTTGTTGTTTAGTGCTGTTGAGTCAGTTTCTACTCAGAGCAACACCAATCAACCCTTTATACGGTTTCTGAGGAGTGGCTGGTGGGTTTGAACTGCTGCTCTTACAGTTTAAACTGACCTTGCGGTCCAGTGCTTATCCTACAGTGCCACAATATACATGTGCGTGCGTTTGCATGTGCATGTAATTTCTTTCTATTTTCTTTACTTTCCCCCCGCAGAAACTCAGAGGTTGATATCAAAGTTCTCCAGTCTGGGTTTATTTGATTGTGTGAAAATTTTCCTTTAATTTCTTTCTGAAGCCATGAATTAGATCTGCAGGGTAATTGTTGACTTGCTGCTCTGTAATGATTATAATGAGACCTCAGCAGCCATATGCTTGGGTAATAGTACTCTTTGGACCGCAGCAGGGTAGGAATTTCCAGGCTGGGACTAGGCTAATTTATGGTTGGGACTGATGGGGCAGTTAATGTCAGAGGAGTTGGAGCCCTTCCACAGATTCCACCCTGGGGGCCACAGATTCCACCCTGGGGGCCGTTCTTTGGGTTTAGCTGATTTGTGCATGTTTGTGAAAGGAGCCTGTTCATCCTGCAGTTGAATCTGCAAATTCTACTTGAATCCAAGGCT